CTGAACATGACACCAAAGTAAAAAAATTACATTTACGTTATCTACACTTATCTATTATGTTTTAGGAATATTTTGTCAACAGATGGCACCACGAAACAGTACACTATCGATTTCCTGTGTGTAGCGCAACACTCGACCTTTCAAGGTTGGATGAGTGCTTTCTATGCTAGGATGTTTCAATTGTTTGCGGTTATTACAAACGCGACGATCAACCGTTCATCACTAAAATTTATTACACAGGGTTCATTAATTAACACAGGTAACATATTCTATTCGATATAAACTCGGAGTGATGTTATTGATGTAGCACTATGACTGTAAAACAACGGAGTCGGTATCATCGTACGTCTGACGTCACTGGGAAATTACGAGTGCCGTTGAACTTCGCACGTGTTAGCGAGTGAATTGATGACCTGTTAATTAAACAAAGGTTTCTAATCGATCCAAATGGGACGTAAATCTTACAAGAAAGGATTTTAAGTGGATTTTTAACAGAATCAAAAAAAGTAAGTTACTCATAATATTTTTTAAAAATCTAGTTATAAAAATAAAAATTACTAATCTTTTAATAGTTATTTATGTAGTAGATTGCTTAACGTTATGTGATATTTATAGTTGTTATTTTTATCGGGCGCAGGGGGCAAATTATCTGTTAAATTCGGAAAAAAGTGGTTAAATTGAAATTGAAGAACATAAGTCAGACCGACAAAGAAAAAACACACACATAAAAATGGTCCTCGTGTTTTTATTTATGTAAAGTTTCGGAATATTCAATCACTTCGTCCCTCTTAATATAAATTTAGCCGTATGCCAGCAATTACTGTATTAAAATGAAGAGGTTACTTTATTAATAATTAACGGATAAACTTTATGAACAGGAGCAGAATACGTTTGTCGTTTACTTTTTTTCTGCAGATAAAGATATATTTTATACAATAATTTGACTAGTGTTATATTACTTATTCTGTAAGATCTTTAATAATTGCTAATATATATAATTTTATATACATATTTGATAATTAGTACACGGATAACCAAACTTATTCATATTTTTTCCATTAACCTCTTTAATATTATATACTATATATTAAGCAGAATTATTAATCGATATTTTCCTACATTTATCTAAGAGGAGACACACTAAAAAATTTTAATACATTAAAAAACTGTAATTCTTTTTTATATTTCCAAAGTTTTATCGATTCCTAACTGGCCAATATCAACCCTGTTAAAAACGATGAAGTGTTAGATGTATTATCAGTTATTGTCAACGTAACAAGGAAAAAGGTGTGCTCACTTGGAAGCACAATCAGCACGTTGCTGGATAAAGCAGTTTTAATACAGATATAGATGCAAGAAAATACTTATCCCATCATTGGCTCGCTTACTTACTTCCCATGTAAAAGTGCCCAATATTTTGTCAGCAATTCTCGCCCAAATAATTTTTTTCTATGAATATTTACCTGTATACATTACTAAAAATGTAACTAACTTTCCTCAAACCTTACACAAATAAAATGAAAGTTATATTTATTTATTTTATTAATTTTTCATGTAAATATATTACTTTCTCTCTGGAACAATGCTTACTTATTTATTTAAGTTATTAATTAAAATAATTTAATATTTTACTTATATAATTAGGCAAGTGATAAGATGCTGGAACATGTAGATATCTGTCAGGAAGTTCTAAATGGTAAATAAGTTTTTGTGTTTGATATTTTACATTTTAATTAATATCTTAGTATTAAATTACACTTTTTTTCCTTCTTAATCAAAAACTGTTCTCACCGTTAGTTTTTCTGAAATATTTCCATTATTTTAATTATTTCTAAATCATTGGTCATAGTCTGACATGGGTCTGGACAGAAAAAAAGACGTTTTACTGTATTTGAAAGAAAAACATACGTAATTCAGATAATGTTGATAAAATATGAATCATCATTTTCTAAATTCATGAAATTTAAACTTACATGGTTATTATAACCCTAAAATTAGGTCCTATTTTATGTTATCGCGCAGATAACCATACTCAGTTTTACTCATTATAGACTGATAACACTTATACTTTTGACGTTTTACCTGTTTTCATTTTTGTCTCCTCGCTTTGTGAGATTTTAAGCCCTACACATCGTTTCTTCGTCCAGGCCCACAATGACGGCGACCGGATGGAGATAATCAGGGCCCGACATATCCAGATAGACCACCTCAAAAATTTTTCGGCGGTTGTTTCTCTGGAGAGAGGTTTTTTTGTCCTTCAGTAGTCCTCCGGTATGAATAGCATTTGTCGAAAGCTGGCCTGGAAACCATTATTGTGAAATCTTTAAGAGTTGTATACACTAAAGGGCTGTGGAATTCATTTGTGCTGATGAAAATTAACTGTTTACCAGGATCCCGAGAAATCCCGGGATATAATTAATTATTTTTAATATATAAAATAAATCTTAAAATCGAATGATATAATTATTTTTTATTTTTAAGTAACTTAATACGTGCTGCAACATCTACAATAATTAATAATGGTGTGTAAAATATGTACAAAAATTACCTTTGAATTACGTAGAAATTTTCACAAGTAGAAAAGATTTGTTGGAAAATATTGACCAGAAAAAACTCTTTGAATTGAGTCGAAAATTTAAATAGAAAAATGAACTTAGATCAAACCTTACTCAACACAAAATAAAGAAAAGAGTAAATTTTAAGGAAATTTTCAGTATTTCTCGGAATGAGAAGAATTTGCCGGGTTAAAAACAATCCGGATCCCGGGCTCCCTGGAGAAACCCTACCAGAGACATTGACCAGAATACAGCTTTAGGTTCGTCTGAGGGCTTGTAAGTTATTACCCCCGTTACAGGGCTGCTTTCACAAGTGTTATCGGTGTAGTCGGATGTGTAGATAGGAACCTACTTCCATGATGGTTGGTGTAAAAGCACAGATCTGCGGTAAAATTCTGTGTTATGTAATAAAAATTCAACTAGAAGATTAGGTTCAATTTTGATACTATCAGATATATAATACTTGGTAATAATTTTTGAATAATTAATTGCTTATTATTTTCAGCAGAGAAATGTAACCAATATCCAGTAATACTGAAGAAATGTACAGACGTTCACATTGGTACGAAAATAGAAATCCATTCTCAACAACCACAAACAAGTTACTTAAAGAAAGAAGATGAAGAAGAAAATGGTGAGTGTCTACACTTATAACGATTATTGGAAAACGTTATACTTTAAATTGATTTCTTTTTACACATAATTTTATTGTTATACGTAGTAATATGGCATAGAATATGCTATAGAAAAAATATAAAATATACGACAGAAATGAGCAGAAACAATAGAAATGCTTATTAAAACACTGAAAAACACCAGGTTAACGTACTGAAAAGCATCTCTATTGCCCTTTTTTATTTGTTTTTATATTTTGATGATATGAAACCGTGCTTTGCTATTTGTTTATGCTTTTGACACAATATAGTGCTATAAATTAAGACACTTGGCGGATTTTCACATCTTTATTTAGTTGATACGCGTGGAAAAAATTACACGTTTCGGGCTCTTAAGCCCCTCTTCAGTCAACTAAAACATTTAAAAAGGATATAACATACACATAAAAAAGAATACACAAGTTTTGTAAAATTTTTAAAAAATAAAACATACCTATCCATACAGGTTTTATAAATTAAAGTAGCAGTTTACTTTCGATATTTTTTCAGCAACATCAGCTTATTCACAGTATTTTTTCTTGTAGCCTACTATAATATTAGGAGAGTATACAACGTATCTATATAAAACTATACATAAGTTTTATAGTATCTATAAAACTATATTTAATTAAGGCATACCTTGAGTACGGCTGTTATTAAGGTTGTACTGTACAAAATTGATTATACCTTTTACTTATAAAACAGTCTTACAAAATCCTTGGTCTAAAATATACCTTAGACAACAATTATCAAATTGGTATACAATTGATTATGCTTTTTACTCATAAATCTGTTTTACTAAATCCTTATTTCCTTTGATAAGCATTGACAATATAATACGAATTTACATAACTTCTACAATATAAATTTACATATCTGACATCTACTATATTTTTACAATATATGATTGTTGATTTATTTAACATTAC